GCGCCCCCCTCCCCGCCCCCGCCCTCCCATCCTGCCCCTCCCCCCCGCTCCCCCCGCCCTTCCTGCCCCTCCCGATCCCGGTCGCGATCCCGGTGCCGATCCCGGTCTCGGTCCGGTCTCGGTCCCGCCCGTACCCGCGGCCTCGGGGCTCCCCCGGCCCCTCCGGCTCCGCCGCCGCCGCCACCGCGCCCCGCCCCCCGCGGTGGCCGCCGGTCCCCCCGCCCCACCGGGACCGCCCCCGTGTCCTCCTCGTGTCCCACCGGGACCGCCCCCGTGTCCCCCCGTGTCCCCCCCGCCCCACCGGGACCGCCCCCGTGTCCTCCTCGTGTCCCACCGGGACCGCCCCCGTGTCCCCCCGTGTCCCCCCGTGTCCTCCAGCCCAGTCCCTAGCGGGGGTCCCCCTCGGAGGGGACACGGGCACGTCTGGCTCGGGGACATGGGGGGACACGGGACAGGGACACAGAGGATATGAAGGGACACAGACAGGGACGTGGGGACACGGGGCTGGGAGGACACAGGGGACATGAGGGGACACAGACAGGGACGTGGGAACATGAGGGGACACAGACAGGGACACAGGGGACATGAGGGGACACAGGACAGGGACGTGGGAACATGAGGGGACACGGACAGGGACACAGGGGACACGGACAGGGACACAGGGGACATGAGGGGACACAGACGGACATGGGGACACGGGGGTCAGCGTGACCAGCAGCCGCTGTCCTGGCACATCCGTGTCCCCGTGCCGGATCCCGGATGTCCCATGCCATCTCCTTCTCCCAGGAAACGGGGGGATGTCACCCTGATGTCACCGTGCCCCCCCCAGCCGCCAGCTGTGCCCAATCGGTGTCACCACAGCTGGTGGCACTTCTGGCCACTTCCATAAATCCCGGAGCTGCTTGGCAGTGCCGGAGCCGGGCCCGTGAGTGGCACCGGGGTGGGTGACACTGCTGGTGGCCACAAGGACACCCCAGGAACTGTGACAGTGGTGTCACCTGGATCCCGCTGTCCAGGACAGGCATGGCCCGAGTGACGGGGCCGGGGGTCCCCGAGGGGGTCGTGGCCACCGCCGTGCTCTGGGTGACAGCCGTGGGGGCAGCCACAGGGTGAGGAACTGGGAATGGG